AAGCTTCCCCCAGGACAGCCCAAGAGGGCCCCAAGACGGCCCAAGAGGCGCCCAAGATGGCCCAAGAGGGCCCCAAGACGGGCCCAAGAGGGGGCCCAGAGGGGGACCACGAACCGCAAGCTCGAGCCTTCCGCCCCAAGAGGCCGCCAGGAGGCCCCCAGGAGGCCCCTCAAGAGGCCCCAGGAGACCCCAGACGTCCAAGGACGCCCCCAAGAGGCCCCAAGAAGCCTCCAACATGCGTCCCAAGAGGGCCCCTAGACGCAAAAGTTGGCCCATTCCCTTCGTAAAACGTACATTTTCAACAAAGTTGTCTTTTGGGCTTTCCGACGTTACAGGACGGCCCAAGAGGCGCCCAAGACCGCCCCAAGACGGCCCAAGAAGCTTCCAAGAGGGCCCCAGGACAGCCCAAGAGGGCCCCAAGACGGCCCAAGAGGCGCCCAAGATGGCCCAAGAGGGCCCCAAGACGGGCCCAAGAGGGGGCCCAGAGGGGGACCACGAACCGCAAGCTCGAGCCTTCCGCCCCAAGAGGCCGCCAGGAGGCCCCCAGGAGGCCCCTCAAGAGGCCCCAGGAGACCCCAGACGTCCAAGGACGCCCCCAAGAGGCCCCAAGAAGCCTCCAACATGCGTCCCAAGAGGGCCCCTAGACGCAAAAGTTGGCCCATTCCCTTCGTAAAACGTACATTTTCAACAAAGTTGTCTTTTGGGCTTTCCGACGTTACAGGACGGCCCAAGAGGCGCCCAAGACCGCCCCAAGACGGCCCAAGAAGCTTCCAAGAGGGCCCCAGGACAGCCCAAGAGGGCCCCAAGACGGCCCAAGAGGCGCCCAAGATGGCCCAAGAGGGCCCCAAGACGGGCCCAAGAGGGGGCCCAGAGGGGGACCACGAACCGCAAGCTCGAGCCTTCCGCCCCAAGAGGCCGCCAGGAGGCCCCCAGGAGGCCCCTCAAGAGGCCCCAGGAGACCCCAGACGTCCAAGGACGCCCCCAAGACGCCCCAAGAAGCCTCCAACATGCGTCCCAAGAGGGCCCCCAGACGCAAAAGTTGGCCCATTCCCTTCGTAAAACGTACATGTTCAACAAAGTTGTCTTTTGGGCTTTCCGACGTTACAGGACGGCCCAAGAGGCGCCCAAGACCGCCCCAAGACGGCCCAAGAAGCTTCCAAGAGGGCCCGGACCCCGACCACAAATGTGCGCCCCGGGGGGCCCGGAGGCTCGTCGGGGCTTGCCGGAGGCCTCCCCGGTCAGACAAGACGGCCCCAGGAGCGCCCAAGACGGCCCAAGAAACTTCCAAGAGGCCTCCAAGAGGGCTCCGAGATGCTGAAGATGGCCTCCAGACGTCCAAGGACGCCCCCAAGAGGCCCCAAGAAGCCTCCAACATGCGTCCCAAGAGGGCCCCTAGACGCAAAAATTGGCCCATTCCCTTCGTAAAACGTACATTTTTCAACAAAGTTGCTTTTTGGGCTTTCCGACGTTACAGGACGGCCCACGAGGCGCCCAAGACCGCCCCAAGACGGCCCAAGAAGCCCCCCCAGGACAGCCCAAGAGGGCCCCAAGACGGCCCAAGAGGCGCCCAAGATGGCCCAAGAGGGCCCCAAGACGGGCCCAAGAGGGGGCCCAGAGGGGGACCACGAACCGCAAGCTCGAGCCTTCCGCCCCAAGAGGCCGCCAGGAGGCCCCCAGGAGGCCCCTCAAGAGGCCCCAGGAGACCCCAGACGTCCAAGGACGCCCCCACGACGCTTCGCGTCACCAATTTCTTCTCACAACTATTCCTGGGTCTGTGACTCGACAGAACCTAAGCGCGCGCGAAGCGCGCGCGTGGTTCTAGTATCATATAGGAGTGGTACGCGGTGCGATGCCGAGCGTGGAGCTTCAAACGTCACGGAGCAAATCAAGATCTCGAGGCAGATTCGCCATGAATTCCGATTCAAGATCCTTCTAGGGTCGATGAGGAGCCCGGGATTTCGCCCTCGCTCTTCGCAGACTTGCGACGTCACCAAACCCTGAAGATTCAGATTCTTAGCCGCCACCAGCTCGGGTTCAAGGTACACACCGCTTGGCGGGGGACACGGCTAGACTGGCGTTCCGTCCGCTCCTCCTCCCCTCGTGTTCCCCCTTCCCTGATCTTCCCTCTTCCTTTTCCTATGTGTTGTCCTCCCACTCTTCGTTCCCTTTATCCACCCCTACCTCTTCATGATTCCCCACCTCTGCTGGCTCCTTCTCATCTTCCCTTGGGGCCCTCGGCCCGCTGGGGCTTTCCAGGTTCCCTCCTGGTTGTCTCGGGGCTCTTTTGGACCGTCTTGGGATATTCCTTTGCCGAATTCAAGCCCTGTCGGGTTGTGGTGGGCCCCATCCAGAGTGTTTTGTGTTGTCCACCTGATAACAACTCTTGTGCTTCTCCCCATTTGGCTCGGTCCTATTCGTGTTATTGCACGTCGATCGCCTCGCCCAGCGTATAACATTATTTGCTAGCACAACGAGATGCCCTCCGACGTCTACATCCATCCAGGGGTGAGGCCTCATTCGCCTCCATAGACGGGCCTGGCTCGCGAGGCTCGCCTGGACGGGGTGCGGGAACGGGTCGAGTGGAGCATCACAGTGGGCTCAGCAAGTGTGCGACCTTTTTCTCCGCGGCGCGCGCGCGTACGCGGGATGTCACGATGCACGGTTCACTGGATGACATGTTGCGTTTCCCCAAACGTCGTATATCACCTTGCTGCTGAGGCTGCCGCTCGATGGGAGGATGGCCCGCTGGCCATGACCAAGACGTCGCGGGATTTTGCGACGCCGATCTCGGTGATGGTCCATGCCGGCCGTCGCCGACTCTTGAAGACGATACACGAGTTGATGCTGCCCAAGTTAGACGATGACCAAGATCGACACGACGTTTCCGCGTTCAGTCTTGGTCATGGTCCCCGTGTTCTTGCCTTCCAGCTGCCTCCACACGCCCGCTCAGAGGTGGTGCTGGATTTCGTCATCCATAGACTCGACGGTGTCGAGCTGTATGGGAAGCCCATCGAGCTTGATGTGAGGCGCCAGTCGAGCGGCAAGGAGACACTTCTCCGAACAGCAGTCTCGACTTTTACGCGTCTGTTGGGGGCAGACCTTGACCATTCAATGGGCATGTGCTTAACTCGAAATGACAAACTGCATGAACATAATCTTTCGGTGCTCCGCGCGGATTCGGCGCTGGAGCCCCCTGGTGGCGCCTTCGCCGCCCCTGTCGCGCTCCGCGCGCCAGAGAGCGGTGTCCGGCACAAATCCAAGAAATCCGTTCGGACTTCCAACAGCTAATGCTTATGCAGTTGTTCTTCCCATTTTTTCCCATGCGCACGTATTGACAGAACAGTCAAGCTTAATTATGAAGGCCTTACGGCTGGCGCCACCGACCCAGAAGGACGACGACCACGACGACGACGACGACGACGACGATAACGACGACGACGGTAACGACGACGACGACCACGACGACGACCACGACGACAAGCGACAACGACGAGCTGATGACCCTGCCACAGACTCGAGAAACTTGACGGGCGGTGGAGGGAGGAGGAGGAGGAGGCGGAGGAGGCGCGGAGTAGGAGGGGGAGGAGGAGGAGGAGGAGGGGGAGGAGAAGGAGGAGGAGGAAGAGGAGAAGAAGGAGGAGGAGGAGGAGGAGAGCCGTCTGTCTCCTCAGTGGCGGGCGTCTGGGAGGCGAAAACCGACGGGGAAAGCCCCCAGCGGGGGAGGGGTCACAACCCCCCGGCACGGGGCCTGGAACGTGGCCAGTCGGGGGCGGGGCTGGGGTGCCGGCAGAGAGACCGGGGCGGGGGCTGGGGCCAGAGCCAAGGCCGGGGCCAGGGGCAGGGGCTGGGGCCAGGGCTGGGGCCAGGGCGGGCGTCTGGGAGGCGAAAACCGATGCGGAAAGCTTTCAGCGGGGGACGGGTCACAACCTCCAGGACCCCCCAGGACCCCCTCGGGACCCCTGGCACCACCTCCGGGGACAACCCCCCAGTTCCACCCCCAGGACCCCTCCGTGACCCCCCCCCCTGACGGGGAAGGGAAAAAGGGAATGGGTGTTCCGTTCGACGTAATTACGACATTGCTCGATCCCCTTTGTTTGTTCGATCTCCCTTGCGATGACGACGATTCAAAGGAGGCTGTCGTACTTCAGTTTGGGTTGGGCTGGCCTCGCGTCGAAGGGCCTCTCGCAGACGCAGACTGGGTCGGCGGATTTAGCCGTGTATACTTTCAGGCTGGTTTCTTAAAGGGAGAGGATTGCACAAGGGCGACACATGACGGGAGGCAGAGGGCAGCAAGCAGGACCCGAGTGGATGCGATCGGAGGGGATGAGGGATGCGGAGAGAGTGTGAGGGTTCACCAGTAGCATTTTCTTTGATGTCTCAGGTATTGCCGCCGCCTTGCAGGTCGTGCAGCGTTGCGCAGCGACTCACCCAGTGTCTTGCGCCGCTTCCGGCAGAGCTCTGATGGTAGAGAGTTCCATCCCGTGCAGAATGAACCGTTTCCCCCCTGTGCCCTCTCCCACCTCTCCGTCCTCCTGCTCCCCATCTGCCTGCGCCTCCTCCCGCTTCTCCCTCCCCCTCCCGTGCCCTCCTCCCCGCCCCCTTCCCCTCGTCCTCGCTCCCGGCTCCTTGCGAACCCCTGGGGTCTCGCGGTCTCGTGTCTCGTGGGCTTTCACTCCCCTGCCTGGGCCTTCCGACGAACAGCGCCGTCCCCCGGTCTCGGGCCTCCTCGGTGGCCTCGCGGCCGCGGCGGCGCGCCGCTGGGAGCGGCGTGCGTCTTGCGGGGACGAGGCCACTCTCCCGATGCGGCTGCGGGGGCTGGTGCTGCTCCAGACGAGCGAGTAGCAGACCTGGATTCTCCAGCGACCAGCGCAGCAGCGCAGGGACGTTCCGATCAGCTTGGCGGCCGCTCAGCTCGTGGTCTGCGGAGTCGATACCCGACCCCCTCGCCTCTGCCTGCCAGTTCTGCTCCCCCTGCGCGCGGATCAAAATATTGCCTACAGGGCTGCGGGAAAGGAGCTGGCACTCCCAGCGGTGGCGTGGGTTTCAATGACCCTTCCGCGGGCCATTCCTGATCTGCCGACGGCTCTTCGCCCCCATCGCATCGGTTGCCGCGGGGAATTGCTCGGTGGTCCAGCGATTGTGGCGGCAGCGACGGCGGCAGCGGCGACGACGACGACGTTGACGATAGATCCCAGTAGGGAGTGGCAGTTCCCATCCTCCCTCTTGGAAAACAAAAAGCCGAACCCAGTTGGAGTGGGTTTATTTCGCCCCCAGACCCCCCCAAAAACCCTTTCGCTGTTTTTTTCTGTGTGTTCAGGAGGGTTTCTCCCCTTGACCCCCCCCAAGCCACCTGCAGTTTTGTTTGTTTGTTTGTTTGTTTGTTTTGTCGTTGTTGTTGTTGTTGTTGTCGTTGTTGCTGTTGTTGCTGTTGTTGTTGTTGTTGTTGTTGTTGTTGTTGTTGCTGTTGCTGTTGTTGTTGTGGTTGTTGTTGTTGTTGTTGTTGTTGTTGAACATTATTAATTCTAAAGAATAATTATTGTTGGGACCCCTGGTGCACGGCCCCCCTGCGCCGCCTAGGCCGCAGCTACATTTTCATCATTTTCGTGAGGAAGCCTCAGGTAATTCGATGTGATCAAGATCCGGTTGTTTTGTTCCCCCCCGCTTTCCCTTGCAAAAAACACTATAAAATGACATTTCTTGTTCTAATATAATCAAATTTCAAGAATCCCTTGCAAAAAATAAGGTAAAGTGGACATTCGCGCGCGCAAGACGAAATCCTTCCAAAAGCTTAGTGTTCGGAGCGATTTTAACATAAAAACATCAAAAAACCAATGGTTTTTCAACAAAAAAATGTCAAAATCTCATCCCGCGCGCTCTTGCGGATTCGTAGGAAACCCAACACTTTTTAAACATTTCTGTCAAACGGGCTTTTGCGAGCAACTTTTTCGAACTTCTGCGACAACGGTTGCGCACCTGCCAGGGCCATCATCCCTGTCAAATAATACCATGCGGGACACATTCGTTTTTTCTTCGCGCGCGCACGCCGTCGTCGTCGGCCGCGGGGCCCTGAATAGTAGCCACGGTCGTCCGCATGCCACGAAGTGAAGTGTCCGAACGTCATAGGGCGGGAAGCTGGGTGTGGGTGGTGGCGAAGAGTCGTTTGGAAATTTGGTAGAGCTTGAACCGGCCCCCCCACAAAGTGGGGGTATTGCCCGCCTCCTATGAAAACCCTGGCACTGGTGAGAACGGAGTGTCCCCACGTGCTAGTAATTGTTGTTGTTGTTGTTGTTGTTTGTTGTTGTTGTTTGTTGTTGTTGTTGTTGTTGTTGTTGAACATTATTACTTCTAAAGAATAATTATTGTTGGGACCCCTGGTGCACGACCCCCCCGCCGCGCCTAGGCCGCAGCTACATTTTCATCATTTTCGTGAGGAAGTCTCAGGCAAAACGGGTGGGGTCCGGATCCGGTTGTGTTGTTACGATCGGTTTTCCCTTGCAAAAAACACTATAAAGTGGACATTTCTTGTTCTAACATAACCAAACTTCAAGAATCCCTTGCAAAAAATCAGGTAAAGTGGACATTCGCGCGCGCAAGACGAAATCCTTCCAAAACCTTAGTTTTCGTAGCGATTTTAACATAAAAACATCAAAAAAACAATGGTTGTTCAAAAAAAAATGTCAAAATTACATCCCGCGCGCTCTTGCGGATTCGTAGGAAACCCAACACTTTTTAATCATTTCTGTCAAACGGGCTTTTGCGAGCAACTTTTGCGAACTTCTGCAACAACGGTTGCGCACCTGCCAGGGTCATCATCCCTGTCAAATAATACCATGCGGGACACATTCGTTTTTTCTTCGCGCGCGCACGCCGTCGTCGTCGGCCGCGGGGACCTGAATAGTAGCCACGGTCGTCCGCATGCCACGAAGTGAAGTGTCCGAACGTCATAGGGCGGGAAGCTGGGTGTGGGTGGTGGCGACGAGTCGTTTGGAAATTTGGTAGAGCTTGAACCGGCCCCCCACAAAGTGGGGGTATTGCCCGCCTCCTATGAAAACCCTGGCACTGGTGAGAACGGTGTGTCCCCACGTGCTAGTAATTGTTGTTGTTGTTGTTGTTGTTGTTGTTGTTGTTGAACATTATTACTTCTAAAGAATAATTATTGTTGGGGCCCCTGGTGCACGACCCCCCCGCCGCGCCTAGGCCGCAGCACATTTTCATCATTTTCGTGAGGAAGTCTCAGGCAAAACGGGGGAGTCCGGATCCGGTTGTGTTGTTACGATCGGTTTTCCCTTGCAAAAAATAAGCTAAAGTGGACATTTCTTGTTCTAACATAACCAAACTTCAAGAATCCCTTGTAAAAAATAAGGTAAAGTGGACATTCGCGCGCGCAAGACGAAATCCTTCCAAAAGCTTAGTGTTCTGAGCGATTTTAACATAAAAACATCAAAAAACCAATGGTTTTCAACAAAAAAATGTCAAAATCTCATCCCGCGCGCTCTTGCGGATTCGTAGGAAAACCAACACTTTTTAAACATTTCTGTCAAACGGGCTTTTGCGAGCAACTTTTTTCGAACTTCTGCGACAACGGTTGCGCACCTGCCAGGGCCATCATCCCTGTCAAATAATACCATGCGGGACACATTCGTTTTTTCTTCGCGCGCGCACGCCGTCGTCGTCGGCCGCGGGCCCTGAATAGTAGCCACGGTCGTCCGCATGCCACGAAGTGAAGTGTCCGAGCGTCATAGGGCGGGAAGCTGGGTGTGGGTGGTGGCGAAGAGTCGTTTGGAAATTTGGTAGAGCTTGAACCGCCCCCCCCACAAAGTGGGGGTATTGCCCGCCTCCTATGAAAACCCTGGCACTGGTGAGAACGGAGTGTCCCCACGTGCTAGTAATTGTTGTTGTTGTTGTTGTTGTTGCTGTTGAACTCTCACTTCTGAAGAATAATTATTGTTGATCCCCCCCGCCGGTGCATACTGTTTTTTCTGAATCAAAGTGTGCTCCTCGACGCTCGCACCCTGTTTTTTGGCAGGGGAAGTCTTCCTGCTCAAACTGGTCCCCTGGTCCCCGGTTTACAACAACAACGGCTCCCGCTTTAGATTTCCTTACAATTTAGCCAGGACCCCCGCTCCCACCCGAGACTTCCTCGCATTTTATTGAGGAATCGCGCTCTCGCTTGGGACTTCTTTACAATTCATTCAGGAATCGCTCTCCCGGGAGACTTGCTTGCAACTTACTGAAGAATGGCCTTGCGTTGGAATTTCTTGCAATTTGCCAAAGCGCCGCGCTCCCGACACCCAGGCACCCAGGAGTCGTGCCCGTTGTGGCCCCATGTGCATGCCCTTCGTGGCCCCGCTGTCGCCATTTGTGTCCTTCTCATTGTCCTACGTGGCCCAGTTGCTACCCTCAGTGGCCCAATCGTTGCCTTCTGTGGCCCCGCATTATCTGCCCTTCGTGGCCCCCGCTCGTTCGCGCTCTTCGTGGCCCCATACGCATTCCCTTCGTGTCCCCGCTGTCGCCCTTCGTGGCCTACTTCGTGCACTTCGTGGGTCTGCTGTCGTTACCTCTCGCTCTCGCTTTCGCTCGTCGTCGCCGTCGTCGTCGTCGTCGCCGTCGTCTTCGACGTCGTCGTCGTCGTCGTCGTCGTCGTCGTCGTCGTGGTCGGTCCCCTGTCCGTCCCTCTTGGGGTCGGGTCGACGGTCCGCGGCCGCCCCGCCGATCAGCGCTGCCGCTGGCCAGGCCGACGGTCCGCGGCCGCCCCGCCGCTTGCCAGGGCCCGGCCTCCCCCCTCCTCCTCCTTCTCATCCCCCCTCCTCCTGCTCCTCCCCCCCCCTCCTCGTGGAGCCATCTGGGAAGTCATCCGAGAGCACTCCGAAGGCAAATTTCAGGACATGGCTCGAACGAGGCGCTGCTTGTTCAAGAAATTAGCCTGGCGAAAGACCCAACCATAAGCAATTGTTAATACCGCAATTGTGGGCATCATCTTCGGTGGAGCTCCCTACGGGGCCACGAACCGTGTGAGGGATGCGCCAAAATGGAGCGGGGCCGCCATGCTGAACCTGCCACTGGGGCCTTCGGTGGAGCCCCCTATGGGGCCACGAGCCGCGTGAGGGGTGCGCCAAAATGGAGCGGGGCCGCCACGCGGACCCTGCCACTGGGGCCTTCGGTGGAGCTCCCTATGGGGCCACGAACCGTGTGAGGGGTGCGCCAAAATGGAGCGGGGCCGCCATGCGGACCCTGCCACTGGGGCCGTCGGTGGAACTCCTATGGGGCCACGAACCGTGTGAGGGGTGCGCCAAAATGCGGGGCCGCCATGCGGACCCTGCCACTGGGGCCTTCGGTGGAGCTCGCTATGGGGCCACGAGCCGCGTGAGGGGTGCCCCAAAATGGGGCGGGGCCGCCATGCGGACCCTGCCACTGGGGCCTTCGGTGGAGCTCCCTATGGGGCCACGAACCGTGTGAGGGGTGCGCCAAAATGCGGGGCCGCCATCGCTGACCCTGCCACTGGGTCCTTCGGTGGATCTCCCTATGGGGCCACTGAACGTGTGAGGGGTGCGCAAATATGCGGGAGTCCGCCATGCGGACCTGCCACTGGGGCCTTCGGTGGAGCTCCTTATGGGGGCCCCGAACCGTGTGAGGGGTGCGCCCAAAAATGGCGGCGGGCGGACAACCCCCCCCATGCGGACCCTGAACTGGGGCCGCTTTCTGGAATCCTATGGGGCCACGAACCGTGTGAGGGGTGCGCCAAAATGCGGGGCCGCCATGCGGAACCTGCCACTGGGGCCTTCGGTGGAGCTCCCTATGGGGCCACGCGCCGTGTGAGGGGTGCGCCACAAGGGGGCGGGGCCGCCATGCGGACCCTGCCACTGGGGCCTTCGGTGGAGCTCCCTATGGGGCCACGAACCGTGTGAGGGGTGCGCCAAAATGCGGGGCCGCCATGCGGACCCTGCCACTGGGGCCTTCGGTTGAGCTCCCTATGGGGCCACGGAACGCGTGAAGGATGTGCCGAAACAGAGACACGCGGAGGGCATAGGCAA